TGTTGGTGGTGATGGTGGTGTTGGTGGTGTTGGTGGTGTTGGTGGTGTTGGTGGTGTTGGTGGTGTTGGTGGTGTTGGTGGTGTCGGTGGTGTCGGTGGTGTCGGTGGTGTTGGTGGTGTTGGTGGTGTTGCTGGTGTTGGTGGTGTTGGTGGTGTTGGTGGTGGTGTTGGTGGTGGTGGTGTTGGTGGTGGTCTTGGTCTTGGTCTTGGTCGTTGTCGTGGTCGTTTGTCGTTGTCGTTGTCGTTGTCGTTGTTGTTGTCGTTGTCGTTGTCATCCTTTTCTTCTTCTTTTTTTGGGGGGGTGCTATTTATATAAACCATCCTGAAGGCAAGCGCATTGGCCGGATCTCGGATCTGGGCCCACAGTCCTTGGCGGTTCCCTGCCGTCCGGTTCCGTAGCTTGAGGCTTTTTGGGTGTGGGGGCTTCCATGTAACCCCCGAAAGAGTGATTCAGTTATTCACTTTAGGGGATCTGACGCCCAGAGTCGAGGTCCCAAAGGGCGACTGGATATATTTCCAGGCCCTTTGAGCGAGAGAGTTGGGAGAAGCGTTTCCAAAACCAGTGCCAGCCATGGGGGTGTGTCTTTTAGGGGACCACAACGGCTTCTAAAACTTAACCAAAAAGGGTTCCCTCAAAAATAGACACCCAGGCGTGTTTTTTTTTTTGGTTGGGGGGGGGCACCCATGTTTGGTTGGTCTTGAGTTGAAATGACGCCCAAAGGAACCCGGCCATGGTTGCCCACGTTTGAGACAACCCCCGCTATTTGCTCGATCCCTGATGAGTCTAACTCAGTTTCAGCCAAAGAGAATCGACCGGATCAATCCACCTCTTGGTTCCCAATTTCCCCACGTCCTCATGGAGAAATATCATTGACAAGCGAAATTATTGGTTTTGTGAGGTCACCATTTTGGATGTGGTGCAAGTGGAAGCTTAAGGGACATCCGTTTTAGGGGTCCCCATGGTCCCCCTATTTTGACATGCCCACATGAATCTTGTCATGGGCGAAACTTATTTGTCGTCCTTTTTTCCCCTTACGTTGCTCCTACAACTTGACGTGCTGGACAGCATGGACACTCACCCTGGGAGAAACCGCCATATTCTCAGTGACCGTGCCGAAGTGTGCAAGTGTCACTGGCAGACCCACCCCCCAACAGCTTTTGGGCCCCCGAGCCGCGAGATATCTTCTCGCCTTTCCGAGGACGGACTGCTACCCCTACTGTGCGGGCACAAAGCATCGGTCGCGCAGAACCGACATGGTGGGACTGGTGAACGATCACTGCAAGTTTTGGTTTGAGGAGGCCTGGACCTGCCGTCGGGCCAATTGCTCGACTTCCATTTGAGTCACGCCACCCATTTTGCTTGAGATGTGTGGACGATCTTTGCATGCTTCGTCGATTCTCAAAGGAATGAACATGTCTGATATGTGTATATATTTCTAGATATATATATTATAAATACATATGAGCCACGGACAAAACACGCGTAGACCACTTTATCAAGACGGGGCACGCTTTTGAGTAACACATCTCAAAACCATGGAAAACGATGAGGTCTCCCCCAAAAACGATGACCCTTAACGAACACACGGCTCTGTAAATACGACACTTGTACTGAGAAGTTGCGATTTTCGAGCTGGAGATGCGGAAGTGTACTTCGCGTACAGCCTAGGCTTGTACTACAAAGCTGCGATTTTCGAGCTGGAGCTGCGGAAGTGTTCTTCGCGTACTAGACTTGTACTACAAAGTTGCGAATTTCGAGCTGGAGCTGCGGAAGTGTACTTCGCGTACTAGACTTGTACTACAAAGTTGCGATTTTCGAGCTGGAGGCGGAAGTGTACTTCGCGTACTAGACTTGCACTACAAAGTTGCGATTTTCGAGCTGGAGATGCGGAAGTGTACTTCGCGTACTAGACTTGTACTACAAAGTTGCGATTTTCGAGCTGGAGCTGCGGAAGTGTACTTCGCGTACTAGACTTGTACTACAAAGTTGCGATTTTCGAGCTGGAGATGCGGAAGTGTACTTCGCGTACTAGACTTGTACTACAAAGTTGCGATTTTCGAGCTGGAGATGCGGAAGTGTACTTCGCGTACTAGACTTGTACTACAAAGTTGCGATTTTCGAGCTGGAGCTGCGGAAGTGTACTTCGCGTACTAGACTTGTATTACAAAGTTGCGATTTTCGAGCTTGCGGAAGTGTACTTCGCGTACTAGACTTGTACTACAAAGTTGCGATTTTCGATCAGATGCGGAAGTGTACTTCGCGTACTAGACTTGTACTACAAAGTTGCGATTTTCGAGCTGCAGTGCGGAAGTGTACTTCGCGTACTAGACTTGTACTACGAAGTTGCGATTTTCGAGCTGGAGCTGCGGAAGTGTACTTCCTTCGCGTACTACTTGTACTACAAGTTGCATTCGAGCTGGAGTGCGGAAGTGTACTTCGCGTACTAAACTTGTACTTCAAAGTTTGCGATTTTCGAGCTGGAGCAGCCGAAGTTCTTGCGTACTAGACTTTGTACTCAAAGTACGATTTCGAGCTGGAGTGCGGAACTTCGCGTACTAGACTTGTACTACAAAGTTGCGATTTTCGAGCTGGAGCTGCGGAAGTGTACTTCGCGTACTAGACTTGTACTACAAAGTTGCGATTTTCGAGCTGGAGCTGCGGAAGTGTACTTCGCGTACTAGACTTGTACTACAAAGTTGCGATTTTCGAGCTGGAGCTGCGAAGTGTACTTCGCGTACTAGACTTGTGCTACAAAGTTGCGATTTTCGAGCTGGAGATGCGGAAGTGTACTTCGCGTACTAGACTTGTGCTACAAAGTTGCGATTTTCGAGCTGGAGCTGCGGAAGTGTACTTCGCGTACTAGACTTGTACTACAAAGTTGCGATTTTCGAGCTGGAGATGCGGAAGTGTACTTCGCGTACTAGACTGTACTACAAAGTTGCGATTTTCGAGCTGGAGCTGCGGAAGTGTACTTCGCGTACTAGACTTGTACTACAAAGTTGCGATTTTCGAGCTGGAGCTGCGGAGTGTACTTCGCGTACTACTTGTACTACAAAGTTACGATTTTCGAGCTGAAGATGCGGAAGTGTACTTCGTGTACTAGACTTGTACTACAAAGTTGCGATGATCGAGCTGGAGATGCGGAAGTGTACTTCGCGTACTAGACTTGTACTACAAAGTTGCGATTTTCGAGCTGGAGCTGCGGAAGTGTACTTCGCGTACTAGACTTGTACTACAAAGTTGCGATTTTCGAGCTGGAGCTGCGGAAGTGTACTTCGCGTACTAGACTTGTACTACAAAGTTGCGATTTTCGAGCTGAGATGCGGAAGTGTACTTCGCGTACTAGACTTGTACTACAAAGTTGCGATTTTCGAGCTTGCGGATGTACTTCGCGTACTAGACTTGTACTTCGAGCACTACTTCGCGACTTGTACTAACAAAGTTGCGTTTTACGAGTTACGATTTTCGAGCTGAAGATGCGGAAGTGTACTTCGAGTAACTAGACTTGTACTACAAAGTTGCGATTTTCGAGCTGGAGCTGCGGAAGTGTACTTCGCGTACTAGACTTGTACTACAAAGTTGCGATTTTCGAGCTGGAGATGCGGAAGTGTACTTCGCGTACTAGACTTGTACTACAAAGTTGCGATTTTCGAGCTGGAGCTGCGGAAGTGTACTTCGCGTACTAGACTTGTACTACAAAGTTGCGATTTTCGAGCTGGAGATGCGGAAGTGTACTTCGCGTACTAGACTTGTACTACAAAGTTGCGATTTTCGAGCTGGAGATGCGGAAGTGTACTTCGTGTACTAGACTTGTACTACAAAGTTGCGATTTTCGAGCTGGAGATGCGGAAGTGTACTTCGCGTACTAGACTTGTACTACAAAGTTGCGATTTTCGAGCTGGAGATGCGGAAGTGTACTTCGCTTACTAGACTTGTACTACAAAGTTGCGATTTTCGAGCTGGAGATGCGGAAGTGTACTTCGCGTACTAGACTTGTACTACAAAGTTGCGATTTTCGAGCTGGAGCTGCGGAAGTGTACTTCGCGTACTAGACTTGTACTACAAAGTTACGATTTTCGAGCTGGAAGATGCGGAAGTGTACTTCGTGTACTAGACTTGTACTACAAAGTTGCGATGATCGAGCTGGAGATGCGGAAGTGTACTTCGCGTACTAGACTTGTACTACAAAGTTGCGATTTTCGAGCTGAAGATGCGGAAGTGTACTTCGCGTACTAGACTTGTACTACAAAGTTGCGATTTTCGAGCTGAGATGCGGAAGTGTACTTCGCGTACTAGACTTGTACTACAAAGTTGCGATTTTCGAGCTGGAGATGCGGAAGTGTACTTCGCGTACTAGACTTGTACTACAAAGTTGCGATTTTCGAGCTGGAGCTGCGGAAGTGTACTTCGCGTACTAGACTTGTACTACAAAGTTGCGATTTTCGAGCTGGAGATGCGGAAGTGTACTTCGCGTACTAGACTTGTACTACAAAGTTGCGATTTTCGAGCTGGAGCTGCGGAAGTGTACTTCGCGTACTAGACTTGTACTACAAAGTTGCGATTTTCGAGCTGGAGCTGCGGAAGTGTACTTCGCGTACTAGACTTGTACTACAAAGTTACGATTTTCGAGCTGAAGATGCGGAAGTGTACTTCGCGTACTAGACTTGTACTACAAAGTTGCGATTTTCGAGCTGGAGATGCGGAAGTGTACTTCGCGTACTAGACTTGTACTACAAAGTTGCGATTTTCGAGCTGGAGCTGCGGAAGTGTACTTCGCGTACTAGACTTGTACTACAAAGTTGCGATTTTCGAGCTGGAGATGCGGAAGTGTACTTCGCGTACTAGACTTGTACTACAAAGTTGCGATTTTCGAGCTGGAGATGCGGAAGTGTACTTCGCGTACTAGACTTGTACTACAAAGTTGCGATTTTGAGCTGGAGATGCGGAAGTGTACTTCGCGTACTAGACTTGTACTGCACAGTTGCGATTTTCGAGCTGGAGATGCGGAAGTGTACTTCGCGTATTAGACTTGTACTGCCTGCCAAGTTTCGCTTTTCGAGCTGGAGCTGCGGAATTGTATTTCGCAATTTTCGGGCTGGAGCTGCGGAAGTGTACTTCGCGTACTAGACTTGTACTACAAAGTTGCGAATTTCGAGCTGGAGCTGCGGAAGTGTACTTCGCGTACTAGACTTGTGCTAGAAAGTTGCGATTTTGGAGCCGGATCTGCCAAAGTTCGAAAACACTGTAAAACGATGAGGTCTCCCCCAAAAACGATGACGTTAAAAAAAGTACTAAGGCCAAGTAAAGGGTTTCGTCCGCTCCTCATATGATGGTTGTTAGTCAATGCTGGCGTATGTGGCAACCAGCAGCCCCGTGAATATGTGTCCTTCTTGTTTGCTTCACCACACGCACCGCCTGAGCTTGACGCACAGCTTCTGACGAGGCCAACTGCAGCAGCCTTTGCATCGACTGCAAGTGGAACGATTGGCAGGACACGGACTGGCAGGCTGCAGGTTGTTATTTTTTCCGGCCCGTGGGGATTTGGGCGGCCAGAATCACAGTACATGGAACCCACCAGACAGCCCAGGCAGGTTCCATGTTGGTGGGAGGGTATATGAAGTGCCAGCCTCTTTTCCCCGTCACTTTAGGAACGAAGTGCTTCAAAACCTGGCGGAGTTATATATTCGCCCATTCCCACAGTCGATTTCCGAAGTGTGGCCAGTGTGAAGCAGCCGCAAACCACCCGCATCCAATCGCAGGATTTTGGTACTTTGCTTGGCAAGTTGCCGCAAAAAGTCGCTTGTGCTTTATTGAGAGTATTCTTTTTGTTGGTAGCAAGAAGGAAAACCGCCATTGACTCTAGAAAACGGTTTGGATGCGCCTTTCGTGGATTTCACCTGTTCTTCACCCTGCTTCTCCCTTTTTCGTCTTGTATTTCGTACTCTTTCAATCTTCTAGAGGGGTGGATCCACAAATTCGCCACATCCAAGCCGTTTTCTAGCTTGACGGTCGGGCGGTAAGCCCTGTCCCAGTATCCCAGTTGCCCAGCGGATTCCGCCCTTCTTCCCTTCTTTCTTCGATTCTTGGGTGAGGGTTCCCCTTGAAAGTCAAGCAGCCCCAAGAAGGATGGCCCCTTCTTGTCGCACGGAAATCCGCTGGGCATCTCTCAACCCAAAAAGGATGGCCCTGGTGCGCCGCAGGACTGGGCGGACACGTGCCCGCAGCAGCCCAAGCAGGGCACACGCATGAGGACCGATGCGCCGGGCCTGCGCGCGCGCCGGGCCGGCGAGCGCCATGTGCGTGTGGCCTTTTCTTCTGGTCTCCTTGTGAGGTTTGTTAGGTTGAAGCCACAAGGCAAGGCACAAGTTGTATTTATTGACTTGTTCTTTGGTAAGGGGTGTTGTTTTACTGGATCCTAATTCTGGTTGTTTGGTTGCTTGCTTGCTTGCTTGCTTGGTTGCTTGGTTGCTTGGTTGCTTGGGGGGGGGGGAGGGGTTCCGAATATTTTAGCAATCTAACACGAGCGAAACCCTGGGTAGGTTTTGTAGATTCAAGTCTTACTGGGTTTGGAAGTATTGCAACATCTATGTGTGTGTGTGTTTGTAAAAGAACCGGACCTCAGGAAACGGGGGGTCCTTGTGGTTTCCCTTGAACCGTGGCCAGGAAGGGGTACCCTCAAGCACAGACGCTCGCTCCCCTTGCGACTTTTGGTTTGTAGAAAACCGGACCCTTGGCACCTCAAGGGAAGCCACCATCAGAAGCTCCTTCTGGTTTTTCTTACTTCCTGAGTTCATGAGCTTTGAACTTTTTGGGAAGACTGTTGTAGTGGTAAATATAGAGTTTGGGCTTTTTTGGGGCCATCCACTCAGCCAGTGAGTGTTGCGGGGACTAGGATGATACATACTTTGGACCGTATTTTTTACGCACAGGTGGGCAGCCTCCAAAAATGGGCAGGTTGTGGCACAACTTGGCCATTTCGCCATTTCCCTCTCACTCCCTGAGTTCCTGAACCTGATTTTGTTGTCCAACATGGAGCTTGACTGGCGGGCCTAAGGGCCTAAGACAGGTTTGCTCAAGGGACCCTCTGGTGGTGGGTTCCATCTGGTGAGCGTCTCTATTTGGGGTTGATCAATATTCCTTGCCCCGAAATGACCATGGCTGCCTTTTCCCATGTGATTGAAATATCATCTTCTTTGCGTGTTTCCCCAATGATTATGCCCTGTAAAGGACCTTTTGATCAACCCCCATTTGTCTATCATTTCCACCACGGTGGGGCCACAGCTGCGTGATTTTTTGGCTCCACACCCCAAAGTCCACAGCGAGGTGGTTTCTCAAAGTGAGACCCCCCAAAAATAGCGGGGTCCTTTGGGTTTCTCCGGTTTCCCTGTATCTCACACACTGAGTTCCCGGACTTTATGTGTACGTACTTGTCGGGAAGACTTGTGTTGTAAACTTTTTGGGGCCCATCAGCTCAGGTGAGCTGGTGTAACTTGCCGTTTGAAACGGGACATTGTAAAACAAAGAAGTCTGAGCACTGCCTCAGGAAGCGAAAGGCCCGGAGGCCTTGAGTCAGTTTCTTTTAGTTTCACGGGTGTCACCCCGATTTCAGGTGGAGTCCACGGCACTTTTCGCTGGGCTTCACCCAGGTTTGGCTCAGACCCCTTGACGGCCCGGCCTTCGGCTCGCAGGATCCGCGACAACACGCCGCCCCAAGGGGGCGGCGCGCACTGCCAGGGCGACTCGAAAGTGTCGGAGGCGCGCTTTCCGTTGTACGCGGGGAACTTGGTGTGAGTCGGTAAAGGGTACGGATGCCCCGGCCTCGCCGTATTGCAAGTGAACCAACCACACCAAACCATGGGAAGTTACTCTCCCAGGCTCAAATGAAGCCCTCAAATGTGTCCTGTGGTGCACTCAGAGTTTGCAGTTGCCTGTCTACCCATCTACTGATTAAACAAGCTCAAATGGTGGAAATTGCTAGGTCTGGCGCAGACCAGAGACAGGGAAAGCATTTGAGCTGAGGCGGGACAGGGCCAAGACTAACCTAGGGGGTTGTGGGCAACTGAGCAGGTTGGTTCAATTGGAAACCAAAAGGAACACCACCTATCTGAATGAGACGCATCCTGAGAACCATCGCGTGTTCCCAAACGAAATGCCCAAACATGGGGCTCTGTCTTTCTTTAGGCGACCCTGACATGTTGGTTGTCCTTTTGGGTTTTCATTAACCCCCCTCTAATTAACAACACATGGAACTCTCGCAAAAAGCACGCACATGGGGAGTCTCCTGGATTTGGGAGGGCCCAAAGGGTCGAAAGGGCTTTACTTTTCTGTAGCGGATGGTTGCGAAATCCATTGTCGCACCACTTGGAAGCCACATCATTCTGTTGAGCTTGTGGTGTCCTTTAAAGCCCACCAACAAGGGGGTACCCTCAAACAAAGACACCCCTGTCGCCATAGTTGAGCAAACCATGATCAGTCTAGAGAAGGCCCTTTTACAGCAGCCACCGCAGAACTGCCCGATCGACTGCTACTTCACGGATTGGTCGGCTGCCTGGCTGAACAAAAGCTCGCGGGGTTTCCACCAACCGCCCAAAGTGTTTGGTATGTGGGTTTGGGGGTGGCTTTTACGAAGAACCAAAGGATTCCTCAAGTCATTTTGGGGTCCCCTATCTGGAGACACGTTTCTTTTGGTCTCCGTTACCCTCAAAATCAAACACACGCACACATCGCGAACACACACACACACACACACACATATCAGCATCTGGGCCAGTTCAACAACTTGTACCAGCTGAATTCGAGGACCTTCTTGGTGAAGCTTGACCATCTTGTGGATGTACCAACTTGCCCACAGGGGGATTCCCAACAGGAGCCTGTTGACTCCAGGCCACCTCTCTCAGGCCCCCGAACCCAGAAAATTGGGCCGAGAGGAGGTCCATGGCTTCACCAGGCTTGGGTTGTCCCAAGCGTTTGCATGGTTCCTCCAATGGAACCATTGGCTTTGAACCATGGCCATATATTCCATAGCTGGGCCGAACTCTAATCATGATGTGGGGGGAGTAGGGGGCCACTGGGTGGCCAGAGACTGGGGTGTTGGACCTGAGCAGCTCGAATCTGCATGGTCTATTCCCCAAAAGTGGGGGCCGGTGGCTGCGAGCAAATGTGTTGTTTTGTTTTGTTTTTGGAACCCTCTTTCGGTTGCACTGTTCTCGTTGTTGTTGTGATTTTTTTTTGGGGGGGGCCGGGGGGTCCTCAAAAACAGCTCTAATCAAAGGGGTGGGGGTTACAGGACATTCTAGAGGAAAACGGCTTATTTGTGTGCTGTAGATGCTGTAACCAAACCCGCTGAACCAAGAAGGTCCTAAAAGCCGTGGCAACTCTTGCGCTTGAGGGACTTCCGCCGAACGGCAAAGAGCAACACCGGACAGTTGAGTCCATGCACCAGAATAATTAGTGGGGCACTGTTCAAACCATGGGTATGGGTCAAAATTTAACCACCAGGGGACCGCAGGTTTTACTCCTTGGTTCCATTTGCCAGGTTCCATTGTGGGTACCTAGAAAGACTCATGGCCACATGGCTGGTCTTTTGGATGGCACCATATTCCTTTGTGACTCCTGTGCGGTTGACTCGTGGACATGGGAGTTGTGGGATGATCATTAGCTAAGGCTAGAACCCCCAGTAGTGCCCTTTTACCCTTTTCTGGGGGAGGGTTCCCCTACTAAAATAGACTACAGGAAAAAGGATACCCTTATTCTAACCGGTGTCCCATTGCGAGAAGGCAGGAGTTCCTCAATTTCCCTTTTTTTGACTTCCAAAAGCTGCAATTTTGCTGGAACTCACCAGCCATTTACAACTGTTAAGGGTCTTCGGGATTCCAATGAGGTTCGTGCGTTTGGCTCGGGGGAGGGGGGGCCATTGACCACCCTACTTGGGTTGGTGTCATCAACCCCTCAGGGTTTTTAGACAATACTTCCTTTTGCTTAAGAATATGTTGTGTTTTCCCATTACTATTGGACGTTTGTGCAGGGGCCTAAGAAAATCGAAGATTAGCCAGGAACTTGGACCAAAGCCCAGGCAAGGCAAGGTTAGGGCAGTCCCAACCATACATAGCTGCGGATATGTGCCCGTTTGACATAGTTCAGAGAGGGATCCCTTGCAAAGGGGGTGCCCACACAGCACTGAGAACAGAATGCGATGAACACACTTTTTGAAAACCTGGTCAGGTACAGTATTCTAGGGTTTGATTCCCATTCTGTTCAACCATCGTTCTTTTCAAAAACCAGCCGTTTTCCCTGGGTTTCTGAAGGTTCTCTAGAAAGAAGGATTAAGGGGAAAGAATGGAAATGGAAGGTACCCCTAGAAGTATGCTAGGAAGGGACAAAAGCAAAAGCACCTTGGCAAGCGCGGGAAAGCAGTTCAGCCAGCCCCTTTGCAGCCTGGTCGGAGGTCACAGGTGGGTTTGGGGCGCGAGAACGCTGAGGAATGGACGTCGTGCCCACCCTGTTCGACCTCGGCGGTGTCTGAGAGTTCGCGCCAGATGGTGGAGGCGGGCGGAAGATGCTCAAACCAACCCCGAACCAACCCTAAACACCCCAAACCACCAAAAACCAACCCTGAAACACCCCAACCAACCCCAAGCACCCCAAACCACCAACCCTAAACACCCTAAACCCTGAAGCAGCCAAGTCGCTGGTGGACGTGGGTGTGTTTGTTTGTGAGGGTACCTGTGGCTTGCTGGTTTTAAAGGGAAACCAAAGGGAAGCCTTCCATTTGGGGGCCCCAAAAAAAAGACGCACCCACACACAACCCCATGTGCATGATCATTTTGATAGGGAAGATTGGGGCAGACGACGCCTCCAATCTATGCACAAAAAAAACAAACATATTGCACAAGAATACCGCAGTTTTCGTATGCAGCGCCCACAAACATGGCACATGGCTTTGTCTTAAAATTGGGGATCCCCCAAACTGTTTCGTGTCCTTTTGGTTTCCCTTTGAAAAAGTCAAACCCGCAGAAAACCCCCATGTCCCAATCAAAGTTCATAGGTTTCGAGCAGGACTGAGATTGGATGGGTTTTGACTGGTGTGTTTGCTTTGTTCCCAGACAGTTTTTCCAGAGTTTGTTTGTTTTTCTTTTTGTTGCTGTTGTTTCTTCTTTTTCTCCCGCTTCCCCCAGAGGCTGTTTTTTTTGTTTTGGGCCAAAACTCAAAGTGACCAAGTCTGCCGGGCCCCTTCTTCAGAAGCCGCCGCCTGCTAGTAGAAATCTTTGACCCAAGTCTTGGGGTCCCGTTGCAAACCCTTTTTGGGGCATCCAAATACTGTGGGTGGTTGCGAAATCCGTTTCGCACCACCTAAGAAGGGAAGCCATGGTTTGTTGGTATTTACCGGGGAAGAAACCGGGTTTCTTAGGTGGTGCAGGATTTCGTCCACCCACAGTAGGGATCGCGTCTTTGAGCAAATATTTTTGTACCGCGCCTCACTTGCGTGTCGTCCAGAAAACACAACTCGTGTCGTCCACACAAACAGCACTCGTGTCGTCAAACAGCTTCTTTGAGCAAATAGGTTTTGCCGTCCTGCCGCGCTTCGCTCACTTGCGTGTCCACAAAACAGGACTCGATTGACAAGAAGCCCATGGGGTATATAAACAGTAGCTGTAGGGATTTCTTTCTCGATGAAGGCCCCCCAAAACCCCTCCCCCGGCCCTTCCGCCCTGAACATGGTTGTTGTTGGGAAACGTTTTACATGTTTGCAAATTGTGGTGTAGTGGAAACCCCCACTCAACTGCTATAATTTAATTTTGTTGCTCCCCTTCCAACGTCAACCCAGTGAAAGCGCACCTCCCACGTAGTTGCTCCACCATTCTTCCCAGGCTCCAGCACGAGCATTTGGTGCTGCGGTGTAAGCTGTGACGGCACTCCCTGAAGGATTGAGGGCAATCGCAATCAGATTGGGCCCCTGCTTTGGGCCAGCTGCGAGAAAGGCGGCCATTGATGTTGGCAAGCAGCGACTAGGATCAAATAGCTTAGTTATGCCAAGCTCCAGCTTGAATCCGCGGCGAAGTGGTGCCATCTCTGCTATGTCTCCCGGCTAAACCCAACCCAAAAAACTGCTACGTCGTTTCCATTGCCATCAAAACTGGATCGTAACAACAGCCGGCTGTGGGAAATCTGTTCAGGAAAGCAGGGCGGGACCTGGGCGACGATATTGTTCAGCTCCAGTTGGCGTTTGGAGCCTGGTGGTTTCGAGGTGTTCCGGGGGTAGGGTCCAATTTATGCACAATCCAATTGGTGTAAATGGGTGGTGTCCCATTTACCCGCAAGAAAATGGGTTTCTCTCCTTCACTGGCAAACCAAAAGAGAAAATCGTTCTTGGCGGCAAAAAGGGGGTTGTCCTTCATTTGGGCGTGTCTTTTTTTGAGGATACCCCCTTTTTGGCGGTCGGGAGAAACCAGAAAGTGGAGAACCGCTGCAGCATGTTGGTGGTCCCATGCCTAAAACAGTCGCCCTGCTGTTGTTGTTCAGCCGGTGTTCTCTTTTTTTTACCTGCGTCTCCAATGACTCGTAAAAAAATAAATAACATGACACACCCGTGTCTGCCTCTTTGTCCCGCCCGCACGAGCGCGCAAAAACCGCCCGCGCTTCCTTCCGCCCGCCGCGGTTTGTTTCCCGGAAGCGATCCCCGGCGGCGGGCGCGGTTTTTTTTCCTTTTTTTTTTCTCGCGACCCGAGAGGCCCAGTGGGGAGGGCTGCCGTGCTTCGAGACGCACAAGCTGCAGACCAAGCGGGAGAAGATCTGCCGCTGCCGCTGAAAAACTTGAAACGAGAAACGCGGGGGACTTCATCCAAGGGTTGGGCCGGTTTTCTGGTCATGTGGGTGTGTCTCGAAATAGGGTGCCCCCAAAATGCTGGTTGGCCTTTTGTTACCCTTTCAACAGGGTTTCCGCCCAAAAAGAGGATTGTAACATGAGTTCCCTGTTCGTGGGGTGTTCAAAGAGGAAGTTTAGGGAGCCCCACCGAGGGGTGGCTGGGTTGGAAGCCAACCCCAACCAGTACTCATGGGAATGACCCATGGTCGCCTTGAGCGTAGCTCGTGGGAGGGGGGGAAACGAGATCAGGTGTGAAGGCCCTTGGGGGAACCGCATCGACTTTGTGAGTCATACTGTGGATGGTTGCGAACTCCATTTCGCGCCAAAGAGGCCCTGGAATGAGTCGATTTCCCTGTAAATACCGACGAATCCTGGTTTTTCCCACGGATTCTTCTGTGGTACGAAATGAGGAGGAGTTTGCAACCATCCACTGTAGCACCGGTCCACCAACATATGGAACCTCACAGGGTTGTTTGGGGACAGGAGGGCACCAGAAAGAGGGGTCATTTGACCGTTTCTAGGGGTGATCAAAGTGAGACAATGAGGTTAGAGTTCCAGTTTTTAACCCATCACTGAGTGGGTGACTTGGATCATGGTAGAATAATGAGGCCAGCAGAAAGAGGTTGACGCACCCAACTGGCCGTGGGTAGAAACACCAATGGTACCATTTTGGGGGTTTTCGGTGCACCACCCTTTTTAGAACCTATTTGAGTGGTTGGATTGAACCGGATGTTCACAGGGGCTAGGATTCGGGTTTTGCAAAGCCCATGGCGAGCTCAATGCGTAAGTGACCGTTGGATCTGAGGCTTCGACCCCTCCTGTGCTACTCCCTGCACCTGGGACGACTGGCGGGAATGGGCATCTTGGACGCGAAGTGGGGGCGCTTGGGGGCGCTTGGGGGCGGCAAGGTGGCTGGATGTTTGGTTGGGGGGGGGGTGGCTGGATGTTTGGTTGGGGGGTGGGGGGGTTGGATGTTTGGTGGGGGGTGGGGGGGTTGGTGGGGGGTGGGGGGGTTGGATGTTTGGTGGGGGGTGGGGGGGTTGGATGTTTGGTGGGGGGTGTGGGGGGTTGGATGTTTGGTGGGGGGGGGGGGAAGGCTGGATGTTTGGTTGGGGGGTGGCTGGATGTTTGGTGGGGGGGGTGGAAGGCTGGATGTTTGGTGGGGGGGGGGGGAGTGGCTGGATGTTTGGTGGGGGGGGGGGAGGCTGGATGTTTCTCCCTGAGACAAACATGGGGTTGCCGTTTTTGCTCGGTTGCAACCAAAGCGAGTTTGACCGGATCTGGCCGTTTGGTTTCCCGATTTTGGGGTTCCCGTTTTGTTCGGTCGTGGCGCCAAAAGGTAAAGCTCTTGTATTTCCAGGTTCTTTGGGCAAGTGAGTTTGAGGATGCTCTTTTGGTTGTGAAAAAGAGAACCTGAAGGGAAGCCGCTCTTTCAAAATGGGTTTCATTAAAAGACAAAGCATGGATCCTGACAGAAGCTCCCTGTAGGAAAATTGACCAGGGCTTGACTTGGTTGGGCCTTTGAGCGGGGGGCGACCTGTTCAAGCCTCTACCTCCCCGACTCTGTTTTGAAACATACTGTGGATGCACCAAACCCATTTGGCACCACCGCTCAGAAACCCTGGTTTCTGATTCGATTCCCCAACGCAAATACCAACCAACGTTACAGGTTCAACCATGGTTGCCAAGCGGTGCGAAATGGATTTCGTCCACCCACAGTAGCTCCGGATTGATTGAAAGCCTACACCATCGCTTGCTGAAAAGGGCACTCTCGGACTCTCGGAAGCTTCAAAACGGGTTCAGTCGTACTAGTTGTCCCACACCTTCCGTTCGTCAACTTCCGGGTAACGGAACGGAGGGATGATGTTGATTCCTCTCAGACCTCAATTGTTATTCAAGAGCAAGTAGCGCTTGAAGCATTAATAGGTGGCCTGTTTGTGGTCACTTTGGTTGAAAATCGACGGCACTGGCTGCAGATGGCTGCAGACTGGTTCTCTTCTCATTTACCCGCGCCATCCTTTTTTACCAACAGTACACCTACTGTGGGTGGACGAGATCCTGAACCACTTTGAATCCATGGAGATTGAACTCCACCTTGAATCTATGGCTTGAAGGCTTGCGCTGCAAAAGCGAAAAGCAATTCTCTGTCACCAAGCTCAGCTCCAAGCGGTCGCTCGAAGCCAAGTGTTTGTGGGTCAAAACTAATGGGATCCCATTTTCGGGTTGTTGCACCACCCGTTTTAGAGCCTACTTGAGTGGTTGGATTGGGATGTTCACTGGGGCTGCGATTCGGGTTTTGGGTTTGCCCCAAGCCGATCGCTCAGGGCGAGTGCACGATCACCTGCGGCGCCGGGGCCACCCGGACCCGGGAGAGGAACTACAAGCACTCCGCGGTGGCAGGCGCGAGGCGGTTCGATTTTTGTTTAGGCGCAGGGACTAACGCGGACGGCTTGAAGTAAGCCAGAAATATGGCCATGAAATTTTCAAAACCCGAATCGTAGCCCCAGTGAACATCCCAATCCCCACTGAAATAGGTTCTAAAATGGGTGGTGCACCTATCCCAAAATGGTACCATTGGTTTAGAACCATGGCCACATGGGTCAGTTGCGTGCTGCCGGTAGAGCAATAAACTAGGGGTGAAAATTCCAAGGGTTCGCATGGGGGTTGATCGAATTTCATCCTTTTGCAAGGGATTTTTAAACGGCAACCACCAAGAAGATGACGTCTGTCCTAAATGGTAAGTAAAAGTTTTTTTTTGGGGGGGTGGATCAAAAATCAACCATTAATCTTCCATTTGCTGAAGCAGATATGATTTTGTTTGCTTACCATGGTTATTTGGGGGCCAGGAGCATCGATCAACCCAACTAGATATGAGTTTTAATGGGGAGCTAATTCACGAGTCGTTGGCGGGGATTCTGCCGTCCGAGTCCCCAATCAAGAATTGTTTGTTTGTCTCACAGGGAAACCCTCAAAATGGCCCGTTTCCTTCTGGTTTCCCTTGAACCGTACCAACTCAAAAGGTAGCAACTGAACCCCGAAAATGGGCTGTTTGCTTTTGGTTTCCCCCCCAAACCGAAAAGAGGTACCAGCTCAAACCAGCTCGAGCCGGGGAGCCCTCAAAATGGGCGCTTTGTTTCCTCCTGGTTTCGCTTTAAAGGTACCAACTCAAACAAGTCCGACACACAAAACGGGCGCCGAAAAAAAGAGGAGAGGAAAACAAAACAAAACAATGTGTATTTACATATATATATATATATATATATATTATATATATATATTATATATATATATGTATTAATAGGTTAAAAAAAAAAAAAAAAAAAAAAAAAAAAATCAGCAAAAAAAATCAGCCCCCAGGAGTGCATTGCCGGGGCCTGGACAAGCAGGAGCAGGACTGCGTGCAGCTTCCGGCGTGCCCGACCACCACCACCACGGTGACCAGCACCAGCACCACCAAGACCACCACCACCATCACGGCCACGCGGTTTGGGCTTTAGCCTTTCTTGGTCTTGGGGTCAGATGGCTGTGGAATACTTTTGGGACTTGAAACTTTTTGGGAATGTTCTTGGTGGCTCCCAGCCCTTTTCTTGGAGCTTAGTGCCAACTTTCTCACCCGTTTTTTGTTGTAACCTCTCAAATCTGGAGAACCTTTTTGGTGGCTCCCAGCCATCCGGTCCCTTAGCTTTTTAGCTTTTTGGTGTTTAGTGGTAGTTTCCATTTAACCCACTAAGAGTTAAACTTTTAGAGGGGGATCTGAGGGCAGTTTCCTTTGTCCTCGTGGGGTCCGACAGATTGCTCCGGATCCCCTCCAGCACCACGCGAAAGGTGTTGGTGTTGGTGTTGTTCTTTTTTCTTGGAGTTGAGACCCCTTTCTCACCTTAGCTACTTGGTGGTTTGGTTTTGGCTTGGACCTAAAGTACCTTCCCCGTTTGGTTTCGGTACCGGGACCCGAAGCCGGCCGCCAGAGGAACCTGAAAAGCTCACCATGGCTGAAGGGACGCCGGACATGTCCCCTTGTCCTTTTCCGGTGCTCATTTCTCTACGGGAAGTGTCAAGGAGTAGCCCTAAGGAACCTTTCCCAAGTGATGCAAAAGTCCTTTTGTGCAGGTTCCCTTCGGGTTCTCTTTGGAACCCTAACAAAGGGGGAGCAAGCAAGGCACAGGGAGACCAGGTATACCGCAATGACGAGATTCAACACCCATCACAAGTGATTGGCTGGTAATTTTTTCCTGGCTCGGAAGTTCAGGGACAGCCCGTGTCGATTTGTCTCCTTCACAGATTAGGATTCGGTTTCGCGCAAGTAGGCACCCCATGTTTTCCACTGAAGAGCATGTTCAATTTTTCCCTTTTTGGCCAAGTCAATCTATCACTACTGACCATATGTCCTCATTTTATCTAGGTCCCCCAGTAGTGCCCTGTTAGGCCCTTTTTTGGTTGGGAGGGTTTCGCTACTAAAATAGACTCCAGAAAAAAGTTGGTACCAACATATTCTAACCTCTCCACAGGAGGACCTAGTTTTCTTCTTGGAAACAAAAAAAACGTTTTGGCTGAAAGTCCATCTATCACCTGACCATATGTTCTCATTTGTTTCCAGGGGGCTTAACATTCAGCAACGGAAGATACAGTGAGTCTTTGGAGTCTTTTTTTTCCCAGGGCTTAACATTCAGCGACAAAAAGGAGGTGTTTGAGTCAGTCCTAGCCCTTGGAGCTGAGGAAACTGGCACGACCACCAGCACCACCATCACCTCCGTCACCAGCACCAGCACCATGACGGAGACGGAGACCACCACCACCAGGACCGCCACGGAGACGCAGACGACCACCACGGAGACGGAGACTGTCACGGAGACCACCACCACGGTGACCACCACGCAGACGACCACCACGAAGACGAAAACGGACACCACCACGACCCATGGCCAGACTTGTGGGCTGCGAAATCCAGTCAAAGGCACCACATCCGGTTTCTGACTCCTTTCCAACCCAGACACCAACGTTATGGTTCCCCTTAGATTCATCTCGCGGATTTCGCAACCACCCGCAGTAGCAAAATACCTGGAGTCTCCTTGTCCCTTCAAAGAAGGGGGTCATGCATGACACCCCTTTCTTTTGGGGCGGAATGCCCCCCATTTTTGAAGGGTCGTGGAGACTCCAGGAGTACCTTTTTTGTTGGCCCTTTTGGCATTGTCTGATTTGTTCGTTGTTTTTACGCCATGGTGCTGATTCCATGTCAATCCTTGGCTTCTTCTCCGCGTGTCCCCGCGGGCGACCCTAACCAAGTGAACCCCTGAAGCCCCAATGGTTGCGTGTCACTATGATCAGCCGCCTTTAAAGCTTCAAGGTGTTTTGTTTTCCTCTTTGGGTGCATTGTGTTGGTGTTTCCACCTCTTTGCCTCTTTTGTTGACAGTTTCCTTTAGGAAAACGAAAAAAGGCGGCGTCTTTTTTTTGGAGTTGGCACTCCTTGTTTGGTGGGTTTGAAGGGAAATCAAAAGGAACACCATCCAATTTGGGGGTCCCCTAAAAAGAGCCATACCCATATCATGACACGTTTTGCAGGGGTCCGAGTCAAGGACAGCGACCGAAACGCAGACGTCCACCACCACGACCCTCACCAAGACGGAGACGACCACCACTGCGACGGTGACTGGCACCTCCACTACCACCACGGTCACTCAGAAACGAGTTTAGCTATGTCGATGGTACAGTGGATGCCCCTACCATTTTGGAAGTAAAACAAAGGAACAACGCAAGAGTGGGGTCCTTGTCCCGATTTCATTTTTTTAGGGCATGCAGCGTGCCTTTTCGACCTTTTGGCTTGCCTTTTCGACCTTTTGGCTTGCCATGTTTGATGGTTAACAGTCCATCTTTGACTGGGTGCCAGCCTCACTTGTCCAAAGCGAATTGAGCTTGTCACTTTTTCCCCATAGGTTGTTCCATAAATCTTGAGTCGCCTGAGCCTCAAAAGGTGAAGGGATTTTGTTTTGTGTCGCAAGTGACCTGTTTTTTGGTTTCCCCCGTCAATATGTTGGTTCTACAATTCTTTGGTCAAGTCGCAAGCTTTTTCCATACATCTGTTGGTTGATCCAAAAAAATGATATTCCCTCGGTGGCTGGTTTGTTCAACACAAATCCAACCATTTCGTGGTGTTTCCATAAACCTGTTGGTTTTTCCACCAATCTTTAGTCACTTCAAAGGGTGAAGGACTCAAGTCGCCAGCGCGAGGTCACCATCACTGGCACCACCACCACAGTCACTGGGACCACCACCAGCTCCACCAAGACATCCACAAAGGCGGCGACCGCGGCGCAGGCAGCGAGCGCGCCTCTGCCCTTCGAAGCGAACGACACCCAGGAGGGCTGAGCCATGAGTTTGTCTCAAAATGGGTGGCTCCCTCTTGATTGTCCTTTAAGACCATCCAAAAGACTTACAAGTACCATCACATGAAAGAAATAAAAAAGAGACACCCATATCAAGCCAGTGTTTGAACCTCCTCAACGTGTGTATCGGTTTAAAGGGACACCACAACGGACACCATTGTGCCCGTTTTTGGCCACATGGGTTCAAAATGGCTTCGGTTTTCCTCTTGGTGACCAACTCCAAAAAAAGCCACCCCCCGGAAGCTTGAGTCCATGGCGGTTCTCCTGGTTTGACTCATTCTCACGAGTGGCAGGGCAACGCATGTTGCGGATTGAAAGCCCAGTGGTCTCAAGAGTAGGATTCGGACCCCCCCCCAACTGGCGCAACGGTCTTGCCCCTTGGTTTCCCGAAAAAAGCCAGCCCAAAATTGGTAAAGAAGACACCCATATATAAACCATATAATTGAGCCATAACCAGTGGTGAATCAACAGTACACCAGGTTCAGACTAGGGCTGATACCAGGAGTTCACATTAGTGAGGTACATGCATTCAGCCTTTGCCCAAGGAGGCACGGAATCTTCAGGCGCGGAATATCTCAGAGGTGGAGCCGCTCAGCAGCACAAGCGGCTCAAGCAGCTCAAGCAGCACGAGCACCAGTACCACCACCACGGTCACCAGCACGGGAACCACCACCACGGTTGCTCGGCTTGATTGAAAAGCTCACTTGCCCAAAGCGAATCGACCTTTTGACCTTTTGGTTTTCCCATGTTGGTCCATTCTTAGTCAAGGTCCCAAAAAGGTGAACCTGTTATTTCCAGGTCCTTCGGGCAAGTGAGATAGATTGTTTGTTGTTTGACTTTAAGTTTTTTGGTCGAACATGTGTCAGCGTCTGTGTGTGTGTTCCCCACTTGACCTACTATGGCTTGGACTCGTAACACTGCTGTGGTTGCCATGAATGGCTGCCAATGCAATGAGCAAAAAGTATTGTCCTTTCGACCCTTTGGCATTTGGCACGTAGCCTTTAACTTTGAACATGTGCGCGTGTGCCAACTTGCTATTTGGTTGCGTCTTTAACATTTCACTTGTTGGGGAATAAGTGTGTATATATATATATATTATATTATATATAATGTATGTGTGTGTGTGTGTGTGTCTTCCAACAACCAGCAATACGCCAACAACGTTTGTGCGCCGGGGCCAACATTAGGGACTCCTTCTGGGTAGTGTTCGTTGTCAGGTTTCCCGGTACCGCGCACTATTGTGATGTTAAATGAGGAACCGCTTCAACGGTGGTAGGTGGGCATGAACCAATGATGTCCACCATTTCGGGTTCCCAATCACCATTCAACCCGGGGCTGCAGCACAGGACCAGGTTCAAGGAGGCGGCGGGAGGGGGGGGGGCCGGGTTAGGGGGTGGGGGGTTGGGTTTGTATGGAATCAAGGTCCATGCCAAAATTTGGAGTACTGAGGTGACTGCCACCACCACCACAGTCACCACCACCACAATCACCAGCACTACGCTGGCGAACACGACCGGCAACATCACCGCAGCCTCCGAGGAGATCTTGGAAGGCTCCATGGCTTGTCTTTCCAATTGCCAAACAACTAACAAAGACATCTCATTTGGGAAGGGTGTTCAAAATTACTTTTTGCAGTGGGAAGCCCCAAAGTGTTCCCTTGAAGTGGTTTGCAAGCACTTTCAAAATTGCTGTTTGGAAGTTGGAAAACCATGTTCACCACCATTTAGAGGGTAAATTTGAGGATGTCACTCAAGACTCACTCAGATGTGCCCTCCCTCCCCCTTGCAAATGGGATCTTGCGATCAAAATGACAAATCCAAGCGCTCGCCTGTGGTGTTTTGATTCTCAGTTGAACACCTGGCCTGAATTTCAACCAACATGCGCTTGTCTCGCATTGGGGGAAGCTGCAAAAGATGGGTCTCTTTGGTTTTCCTTTGAAACACGCCCAACAGAGTACCCTGAACAAAAGAGACGTTTGAATATAGTCAACGTGTCGGGCCCTGTGAAGGTGAGTCTTTCTTGGTATGCAAGCAGGGTGAACAAACAATCGCAACGCCCTGGTTTACCGTAGTTCGCCGCGGTGTTGTGGTTTTGCGTGTGGTTGGTTTACTAGCAATATGGGTGGGTCCTTTTTTGGGGGGGCCCAAAATGTGTGGGCTTCCTGTTGGTTTCCGATTAAAACCAAGAAACAAGAGGTACCCTCGAAAAGAAATATGTGGGCAAACAACACATTCTCAAATGCTTGGAGATCGATATGTATATGGCCATGGGTCAAAATCCGAATCGTACCCCCAGTGAACATCCCAATCCAACCACTCAAATAGGCTCTAAAATGGGGTGGTGAATTTCACCGAACACCCCCAAGATGGGATCACAAAACGGTTTTGACACCCACAGCCATATATATGGTTACCATATATATATATATATGTATGTATGTATATATTAATATGTATATATATATATATATTAATATGTATATGTATGTATATATATATATAGTCCACGCCGAGGCTTGGGGGAGGCGGGGGTGATCGACCAGTCGAAGCTGCCCTTTGACCAAGGACGGGCCGTTGATTCGGAGTTACCGGGGCGGGATGTGGATGTGTTGGCGGCGGGGGGAGGGCGGGGAAGGGGAAAAGGGGGGCTGGAGTGGGACTGCAGTCATTTGCATATATATATATATGTATATATATATATATCGTTTGTCCAAAATCATTTGTATGACTGTTGTTTTTGCTTTGTTTTTCTGACATGTAGGGATAGTGTGTGGGAAGAAATCCGCTTTTGGTTGGATTTGTTCAAGGGAACTGTGTATCCCTTTTCTTGCTGGTGCCAGCAGGGAATGAGAATTGGAATGACTCCTATAAACCATCCAACCGGTGGCTTCCTTTTTTCCGGGACCAAAGCCTGGGTTCATTCCATCCTCATTCCCTACCTATCGCTCCAGCAAGTATTTCTCCCTTTCAAGTTGTTCCAGCTGCCAGAGAGAGAGAAGCAGCCCTGGTTTTCAGCCGGTGGTGTTGCTTGCCGGTTCTCAGCAGGGAACGAGTTGGAATGACCCCGAAAAAAACCTCAATTCTGAGACATCATTTTTTTTGTGGCGGGGCCGGAGGAAGAACGGAGGACCCCCCCAATTCTCAGACATCCTTTGTCTTGCTCGCGCTCAGCAGGGAATGAGAATTGGAATGACCCCGGAAGAAGCCATCCCCTGGGCTCCTTAGATGTTTCATTCCCCTATCGCACCACTGCATGTGTTGTTTTTGTTTCCCCCGCGGGGCGGCCTGGAGGAAGCGGCAACATCGTGGACACCATCGTCGGGGCCGTGAAGAGCACGCTGGACGCGAGGCCCCCCTGCAATGGCAGCAAGCCGGAGAAGCCGGAGGCGGGCGCTTGGAGGGGATGGGGGGGGTTGGGATGGGGATGGGGGGGTGGGGATGGGGGGAGGGGTGGGGTGGGGATGGGGGGGTGGGGATGGGGGGGTGGGGATGGGGGGGTGGGGTATGGAGGGAAATTGTCCGTGTTGGGCGGGTGCAGTGTCCGGGAAACCAACTCGCAGGGATACGGGGGGAACCAGTTGGATACGGTTGAGGGTTCCTTGCCAAGTTGGAATCCCCGCATATCCCCGCTCCCTCCGTAGGTTCGCGGAAGTTTGTTTGTTCAAGTGCCCCCTTCTTGGCGTCGGTTCAAAGGGAAGCAACCGCTACATCTCCGATTTGCGGAAACGGATATCTGTGATGTTCCCCTTTTTTGGTGTTAAAGGAGATCTATCACTACTGGATATGTCTTATTTTTCCCAGGGGCTTAAGCAAATGGAAGTCTCTCACCCATTTTGAGGGTTGCCCTATCGAGATGCAGTCTGGGAGGGGGGGTTGAAAGCGGAAGAGCCGAATTGGTTTATCAGGTTTGCCGTTTTTGAGGGGGGCATCTTGTGTTTTTTTTAGTGGAATGCCACCACTTTGGTATCACAACCGTAAAGGTCCCGACTTTAGTTGTTGGATCCAACCTGGGAAGGGGAAGGGGTTGCCCCATGTTTACCAGGCGCCCATCTAGTTTTTCAGACGGTCACCTCACCACCGTTCAGAAGCCCTGGCTTTCGATTCGCTTCCCCAACATGAATACCACGCAACGTTATGCATACAAATTTCAAGACGTCACCTATGGTCATGACCCTTGGCGGTCACCCTTGACTGTGTTTAAGGGATGAGCAAAGCAGGAAATGGATGACCACTTATCCTACCAACGAGCCATTTCGCGCAAAATGGAGGTTTCCAGCAAATTCCTAAACGGGGTGGTCTCGAGAGGGGGGGGTGGGTCCCTAAGGCTCCCTAAAAGGCAACCCTAGGGCTCTCATCAAAGTACCCACCCCCCGATGGAACCTACCACCTGGATGGGATTCCATAAAATCACCAGCCGGGTCACTGATTCTCCGTGAATTTCATTTTGACACCTCCCCAAATCCGCCATGGCTGAAACTGACTACAACCATGCTCAAAGTGTTTCTCCTCTGTTCGAACATCCCGTAGGGCTGAAAAAGTTCCCAGCTGCCTCTCCGATGAAAAGTTTCAGGATAATTTGGCTGGGTCAAAAACTTTAGAGCCTCCGGCTCAGTCCGCCGACATTGTCCTCTCCCTTTTCTCCTTCTTCCTCTCTTCCTTGTCTCCCTTGTGCGTTCTGTCGTCCTCTCTCCCTCCCTCTGCTCCCATCCTCCCCATCCCCCCAAGCCTCTCTCTCCCCAATCTCCCTCTCTCGTATGCATGCATGCATGCATGTATGCATGTATATGTATGTATGTATGTATGTATGTATGTATGTATGTATGTATGTATGTATGTATGTATGTATGTATGTATGTATGTATGTATGTATGTATGTATGTATGTATATGTATGTATGTATGTATGTATGTATGTATGTATGTATGTAATGTATGTATGTATGTATGTATGTATGTATGTATGTATGTATGTATGTATGTATGTATGTATGTATGTATGTATGTATGTATGTATGTATGTATGTATGTATGTATGTATGTATGTATGTATGTATGTATGTATGTATGTATGTATGTATGTATGTATGTATGTATGTATGTATGTATGTATGTATGTATGTATGTATGTATGTATGTATGTATGTATGTATGTATGTATGTATGTATGTATGTATGTATGTATGTATGTATGTATGTATGTATGTATGTAATGTATGTAATGTAATGTAATGTAATGTAATGTAATGTAATGTGTAATGTAATGTGTATGTATGTATGTATGTATGTATGTATGTAATGTATGTATGTATGTATGTATGTATGTATGTATGTATGTATGTATGTATGTATGTATGTATGTATGTATGTATGTAATGTATGTATGTATGTATGTATGTATGTATGTATGTATGTATGTATGTATGTATGTATGTATGTATGTATGTATGTATGTATGTATGTATGTATGTATGTATGTATGTATGTATGTATGTATGTATGTAATGTATGTATGTATGTATGTATGTATGTATGTATGTATGTATGTATGTATGTATGTATGTATGTATGTATGTATGTATGTAATGTAATGTAATGTAATGTAATGTAATGTAATGTAACTATGTATGTATGTATGTATGTAATGTATGTATGTATGTATGTATGTATGTGTATGTATGTATGTATGTATGTATGTAAATGTAATGTAATGTAATGTAATGTAATGTAATGTAATGTAATGTATGTATATGTATGTATGTATGTATGTATGTATGTATGTATGTATGTATGTATGTATGTATGTATGTATGTATGTATGTATGTATGTATGTATGTATGTATGTATGTATGTATGTATGTATGGTATGTATGTATGTATGTATGTATGTATGTATGTATGTATGTATGTATGTATGTATGTATGTATGTATGTATGTATGTATGTAATGTATGTATGTATGTATGTATGTATGTATGTATGTATGTATGTATGTATGTATGTATGTATGTATGTATGTATGTATGTATGTAATGTAATGTAATGTAATGTAATGTATGTATGTATGTATGTATGTATGTATGTATGTACGTAATGTATGTATGTATGGTATATAATGTATGTATGTATGTATGGATGTATGTATGTATGTATGTATGTATGTATGTATGTATGTATGTATGTATGTATGTATGTATGTATGTATGTATGTTATGTATGTTATGTATGTTATTTATGTATGTATGTATGTATGTATGTATGTATGTATGTAATGGTATGTATGTATGTATGTATGTATGTATGTATGTATGTATGTATGTATGTATGTATGTATGTATGTATGTATGTATGTATGTATGTATGTATGTATGTATGTATGTATGTATGTATGTATGTATGTATGTATGTATGTATGTATGTATGTATGTATGTATGTATGTATGTATGTATGTATGTATGTATGTATGTATGTATGTATGTAATGTATGTATGTATGTATGTATGTATGTATGTATGTATGTATGTATGTATGTATGTAATGTATGTATGCAATGTATGTATGTATGTATGTATGTATGTATGTATGTATGTATGTATGTATGTATGTATGTATGTATGTATGTATGTATGTATGTATGTATGTATGTATGTAATGTATGTATGTATGTATGTATGTATGTATGTATGTATGTATGTATGTATGGTATGGTATGGTATGTATGTATGTATGTATGTATGTATGTAATGTATGTATGTATGTATGTATGTATGTATGTATGTATGTATGTATGTATGTATGTATGTATGTATGTATGTATGTATGTATGTATGTATGTATGTATGTATGTATGTGCATGTATGTATGTATGTATGTATGTATGTATGTATGTATGTATGTATGTATGTATGTATGTATGTATGTATGTAATGTATGTATGTATGTAATGTGTAATGTATGTATGTATGTATGTATGTATGTATGTATGTATGTATGTATGTATGTATGTATGTATGTATGTAATGTATGTAATGTATGTATGTATGTATGTATGTATGTATGTATGTATGTATGTATGTATGTATGTATGTATGTATGTATGTATGTTATGTATGTATGTATGTATGTATGTATGTATGTATGTATGTATGTATGTAATGTAATGTATGTATGTATGTATGTATGTATGTATGTATGTATGTATGTATGTATGTATGTATGTATGTATGTATGTATGTATGTATGTATGTATGTATGTATGTATGTATGTATGTATGTATGTATGTATGTATGTATGTATGTATGTATGTATGTATGTATGTATGTATGTATGTATGTATGTATGTATGTTTATGTATGTATGTATGTATGTATGTATGTATGTATGTATGTATGTATGTATGTCATGTATGTCATGTATGTATGTAATGTAATGTATGTATGTATGTATGTATGTATGTATGTATGTATGTATGTATCCTTGCACTTCCCCTTTGCTCCCCAGTATTTCCCGCAAAAAAAAACACGGTTTTTCCAGCGTTTTCGCAAAGAGGACGTCCAAAAACATTGAGTTTTTCCAGATTTTCGGCAAAAGGATGCAGGAAGCCCAAGCCAGCAAAAAAGCCGGCAGGGGGAATCGAGCCTGGGACCCCTGTTTTGCGACACCGGCTCCCCGAAGACTACGTTTAGTGGAACGTCATCAAATTGCCGCGCGGTACGTGGGGGGGGACCCCCCCCTCCCCCAAAAAATACATAAAACGGCATTTGAAAGAATAAAACCAAATAATCAAACAGCATAAACACAAATCAGCAAAATTCACAGAAAACAAGATAAGAACCACCAAGCAACTCAAAAACCAGAACAACCCCCAACAAAATATTTAATCAAAGCATACAACATTAAATAATTGAATCAAGCATACCAACAAAACAGCAAAAATAAAAACCATCAAAGAACACAAACTCAAAAACACACATCAACAAATTTCAAAGCAACATACCAACAAAAAATATCAGAAGAGTATCAAACAAAATAAAATACAAACAGCCAAAGCACGAAAAAATCAAAAGAGCATACCAAGTTCAAACAACGCACTTTGAAAGAGATAAGCGAATCAAGAAAAATACCATATTTCAATCTTTACAAACCATAAGTGCAGTATAATTATAACATATAAGATTTTACATGTTATAGTATGATTAAATATTATGAATTGAAATAATGGTCGGGTAACATGAAAACACCAAACCACCAGTTTAGAGACACTACACCACCAGTTTGGGACCACTAAACCACCAGTTTGGGACCACTAAACCACCAGATTAAAACCACTAAACCACCAGTTTGGGACCACTAAACCACCAGTTTGGCAACACCAAACCACCAGTTTA